TTTTTTTCTCATTATTTATTGAATATATTATATTATATTTCTATTTACCATATAATGGTGCTGGACTATTACAAGCTCGTGTTGTATATTTCGTTGAAGTTTTACCACAAGTAGCTGAACAAGCTGACCATGCATTCCATGAGCCCCATTGTCCATCAACTAAATGACAAAAAAAAAGAAAGATGCATTCATTGAAATTTCTATTTGAAATAAATATACTTGAACAATTTTGTGCAGCTGTACATGATTCATAAAGTAGTGAAGCACCAGGACATGACACACCACCAAATGTTGGTATTATTTGTGCACAAGTACGTGTACGAACAGTCTATAGTATATAGAAATAATTTTTTCTTATTAGTTTAAAGATTATCTTACAACTCCAGCACCACACGTAGCTGAACAAGGACATTGTGAACTCCATGTTGTCCATTGACCATCAACTAAAATATTTCAAAACAAAAATGAATATCATTCAATCATCTCTACTAAGAACAAAAAAATAGTCAAACCTGGACAAGTTACATTTGTAGCACATGAAATTGTTTGTGTCGCTGAACCAAAACATGGTTGTCCACCATCAGATTGACCAGTACAAATTCGCGTACGTGTTTGTATACCATTACCACATGAAGCGGTACAATCCGAATAATTACCCCAACCACTCCAAACACCATCAACAGGACAATTAATAGATGTATTACATGATTGTATCTCATAATATGAACCAACACAAGGTAGACCAGTTGTATTACAAATTCTTGCCCGTCGACTAATACCAAGTCCACCTAAGAAGTGAATAAAAAAAACAAAATTATTTAAATAAATCAAAAATATAACTAAATTTATTCATACATGTTGCTGCACATCCTGACCATGAATTCCAACTTTGCCATACACCAATACCTAATTGAAATAGATATTTATTCTCGTATGCTGTTCATTTTTTCAAAAACTTACTAGCAGTTGGCGACGATCCTAAAAATAAGAATAAAAATAATATAAACATTTGATTTCTTTTAAAAAATCGATTGACATACCACATGTAGTATTTCCACATGCACCATCAATTTCAGTTGATGAGCCAACACATGATAAACCACCATTAGATGGTGCAGGATTAGAACAATTTCGATATCGATATTGATGACCACCAACACATGTTGATGAACATGATGACCAACTAGTCCATGTTGTCCATCCACCATCGATGGGACAAGTACTTAATCCATAACATATTAATGTATCGATTGCATTACCCGCACATAATTGTCCACTTTTAATAAAATATGAAAATAAACATTCAGTTATATCTATTTAACTTACCCATTAGAAGGTGAAGGAGTATCACAATTACGAAAACGATAACTAGTACCAGCATTACATGAAGTTGATGAACAACTTGTCCAATTTGTCCAACTTCCCCATCCACCGTCAACTAGAATATTTATTATTAAATACAATAGTAAAATAAAATTATTTACTAACCTGGACATGTTATATTTGTATTACACTTTTGACTTTGTAATGGTGATTCCGGACATTGTTCACCTCCTGTTGTTACTGTACAATTTCGTGTTCTAAATAAATCAATTTCAAAAAAAATGAAAACTTATAATATTAAATAATCACTTACCGAACTTGAAGACCATAACCACAACTACCACTACATACACTCCAATCAGTCCAACCTGCCCAAACACCAGCAGCTACAAAGAAATACATACATACACAGAATGAACTCTATCTTTTACTCCAAATAAAAACTACATACCAGGACATGTTGTATTTTGATTACAATTTTCTACATCTAATGCTTGTCCAATACACAATTCATTAAAATTATTTGTATTATTACAATATCGAGTCTAAATATTTAATTCAAAATCATATATAAAATGTAAATTTATAGAAATAATACGTACTCGAGTTTGAATGCCTGGACCACAAGTTGTACTACACGGCGAAAAACTTCCCCAGTCACTCCAATTACCATTAATTGGACAAGTAACATTTGAATTACAGGTTTGTGTTCGTAAAGAATCACCAACACATAATGATCCACCAGATGAAGGCATTGAATTATTACAAGCTCTATGTGATAATTAAGTAATATATATAATAATTATATAAAAATCTATGATTTTACCTTGTTTGATATTGAGTACCATTTCCACAGCTTGCAGAACACGATGTCCAATCAGACCATTGACTCCAATTACCAGTAACTGATTATATAAATATGTATTATTAGTTTATGTATCTATTAATAAAAATGATATTTACCTGAATCCCATGATGCTGGAGCTAAAATAGAGAATCATAAATATTATTCTAAAGAAAACAATCATATAAATACATACTAGTACAACCAACACCTGAATCACATGAATCAACTTGAACTGAATCACCAACACAATTTGCTGAACCCGCTGGTAGACATGTTCGATTACGTATAATAATACCATAACTACATGAAGCCTATATAACGCTTAAAATATTTTAAAATTTAACTAAAAATTTATTCTTACTGAACAATTGGTAACATTTACCCAACTACTCCAAGTTCCCATAACTAATATTAATCAATAAAACTCTATTTTACGAATTATTTGATCTTTTACCTGGACAAGTAACATTAGAAACATTACATAAAACTGTATCAACTCCTGAACCAATACAATTAATACCACCAAATTGTGGTGTTGGATTTGAACAATTTCTAGTAGATGAAAAAGTTTAGTTATTCTTTTATTAGCTTTCTTTAATTTTTACCTTTGTCGAAGTCGATAACCAACTCCACATGTTGCTGAACATGCTGATCTTGTCCAATTTGACCATCCACCATCGACTATAATCATTCATATAAATTCTTTATTAAAAACAAAAGTTTGTTTATTTATAAATATTTCATACTTGGACAAGGTACAGTTGATGAACATAATTGTGCTTGTTTAGAATCACCAACACATTGTGCTCCTATATAAGATTTTTATTATATATATAGAGAAAATAATTAAATATTTTCTATTACCTCCATATTGTGGAATAGGTGAATTACAATCACGTGTACGTGTTTGTGATCCATTACCACAACTAAAAATAATTATATTTCTAATATTCGTAAATATGAACGAATACATACGTTGCCGAACATGGTCCATAGCTTGTATAATTTGACCAACCACCATCAACTATAATGAATAATATATTTTAAAATTTTTATTCCAAAAATTAATTACTTGGACATGTTATATTGGTACTACATGCTTGATAGCTAATAGCTCCACCAATGCATGGATAACCACCATTGGATTGTCCCGTACAATTACGATATCCTATAGAAAATTTATATTGAATAAGAAAATATTTCATTTTCTTAAATAAAACTTACGTGTTTGAGTTCCGTTACCACATGAACTTGCACATGAACCCCAACTTGCCCAATCACTCCAAGTTCCATTCACTATTAAACAACGATATAATTTATTTAAAAAGAATTAGAAAAACTTACCTGGATTAGCTGAAGTTACTACAATACAAAATGAAAATATTATTACATATTTCTGAATAAAAATCAATACATACTTATAACACAAGGTATATCATCATTGCACGTTGCATATTGATAATTTGATCCAATACATGGAATTCCATTATTAGCTGGTGTTGGATTTGTACAATTTCTATAGATAAACATTTTTTTCTTCATACATATAAAATATCATAGATCACACAATACCTTATTCGTGTTTGTATACCACCGGAACATGTCAATGAACAACTTGTCCAATTTGTCCAAGTAGTCCATCCACCATTAACTAAATACAAGAAATAATATAATTTAAGAAAAAAAAAGAAAATTTTATTTTATTAAAATTTACTTGGACAAGATACATTTGGAAAACAATAAGCTGTTTCAAGTGGTGGACCAACACATAAATCTCCACCATAACTTGGTACTGGATTATCACAATCACGAACCTAGAATATTTAAATATTGATATTAATCATTGTTTTGTCTTTTATTAAAAAATAATGTACTCGTGAATAAACACCAATACCACATGTAACACTACATGCTGTAAAATTACTCCAATCACTCCAGCCACCATCAACTAGAAATGTATATATGTATTAGATGAAGATCTATTAAATTGAATATTTAACTTACCTGGACATGGTCGATCAAGATCACATGTTTCTATTAATTGCGTTGGACCAGTACACATAAGACCTCCACCAATTGGTTGTGTACAAACACGTGTATAAATTTCTGTTCCATTACCACAGGTGCCCACACATGATGTGGTCAATGCTTGAATATATGAATATAAACATAGAATATTATATAAAAAAATATTATTTTACAACATACTCCAATTTCCCCAAACTCCATCAACAGGACAAGGAATACCAGTTGCACATGATTCTATATCAACTGCTGCTCCATTACATTCTTGACCACCATTCATCGGAGGTGGATTTGCACAAAGACGCTACATATAAATTAATTATTTACTTAATAGTTCAACAATAATTGTAATATGTTAACTTACCACACGTGACATTGTGCTATTTCCACATGTACCACTACATGCTGAAAAGGATGACCAAGTTGTCCAATTACCATTTACTGGACATGGTTGTGTAGAATTACAAGACATAACATTTATAGGAGATCCAACACAATAACTACCACCATATCGTGGTAAAGGATTAGTACATGATCTAATTAATAAAGAAAAAATAATAATTAAAAAATAAATTAAGAATCAATCAAACCTTGTTTGTACTTGTACACCCGTACCACATGTACTAGAACAAGAACTCCAATTTGACCATGCAGTATAACCTCCATTAGCTAATTATTAACAAATAGAAATAATCTATTTTTTACGAAATATAATTTTATCTTACTGGCATTATAAGGATTTGCTAAAATCAAAGAAAATAATAAAAAACGAAGAAAAAAAACAAATATTATTTTAACTTACAATTACAAGTAACATTTGTATCACATAATAGTGTGTCAACAGTTGAACCCAAACAAACACCACCATTAGCTGCACCAGTACAATTACGTGTACCTATAGAAAGATGATTGATTGCAATTAATTATTATTTTGAATTAAATAACATACGATATATTGTAGCTGTACCACATGTTGCTGGACATGAAGACCAATTTGACCAAATCGTCCAATTTCCATCAACTATAAAATAAACAGAAGAAAGTTTTTTCAAGAAACAATTCGTATTATGCATCATTTTTATATACCTGGACAACTAATACTTGTATTACAAGTTGTGACATTAATTGCTTCACCAACACAACCATAACCAACACCAAGACATTGTCGTGTTTGATACTGATATCCAATACCACATGATGCAGAACAACTACTAACATTAGTCCAATTACTCCAATAACCAGTAACTGTTTTTAAAACAAAACAATATTTGTTTTTTGTATCTACTTTTAAAATTTATTTATCTATACATACCATCACATTCATATGAATCATTATATCCTGAACAATTAACAAATTGAAGTCCATAACCAGAACATGTCATACCACCAGCTGTTTCATTAACACAAGTACGACGACTAGCTTGTAAACCTAATGAACAAATTCCTGAACATGGTGAGTAACTACTAAAATTAGTCCATGTTCCATCGACTAAGAAAAATAGAATTCAAAAATTATTATTTAATTAATTTTAATAATTAAGACATCATACTTGGACAAGATCCTCTATAACAAGTGGTTGTATTAATACTTGATCCATTACAAGAAGCGGTACCCGATCCAGAAGATGATGCACTTGTACAATTTCGATAAGATGTTTGAGTACCATTACCACAAGTTACACTACATCCACTCCATGTAGACCAACTTCCCCAAGTATCCGATCCAGGACATGTAATATTAGTTGAACAAATAATTAATTGTACGCCTGAACCATTGCAATATAAACCACCAAATTCTGGTGTTGGATTTGTACAAGTACGAAATCTAATTTTAAATATGATTATGTAAGCGATTATATATTCAAAACAAAAAAAATATTTTTTTCTCACTGTGGTCGTGAACCATTGCCACTAGACGAAAAAAAAAACAAGAAAAATAAAATATTATATATATTCAAATGTTTTTAAAAATAATATACCAAGTTGCTGAACAAACAATCGGAGAAGAATCTACCCAAGCACTCCAACCACCATTCACTATTAATCAATATAATATTATTAAAGAGAAAAAAAATTCTTTTATCCCATGAAATTTACCTGGAGTAGGTAAAACACCTATAGAAATAAAAACAAATTAAATAAAAATTATTCCTATGTTTTAATCGTTCTCTTACTGGTATTGCAAATAGTTCCAATTTGATTAATAACACCACCCGTAGTACATGAATATGTAGCACATGTTCCATTCCATACTTCATTTAACTATAAAAAATATTAGATAAAATTTAAGAAACAAAGAAAAGAAACTTACTCGGCGATAAATCGATGACGAATCAATACAACCACAATCGCATTCTCGTATACATGATCCTCCAGCGGTCTCTCGAAAGTAACCAGAATCACATACACATCCAACACTTTGTACTGAACAATTTAAAGTACCAGTGCGATTTTGACACGTGACACCACAATCGGTATAATTTCGTTCTAGATGACTATAGAGTGGACATGAATCTTTGAAAAGTCGAAAAAAAAACGTTTAAGTTTTATTATAATTAAACAAAATAGAATCTATACGAACCAGGACAGGCTGGTAAATCTGCACAAGCTGCTGATACTACATCACTACCAACACATGTACCACATGCTTGGCCACTAGGTGTTAAACACTGACGTGTTTGTAATTGAAAGCCAGTGCCACATGATGCCGAACATGGATATACAGTATAATTTGTCCATGTACAAAACGGACATGGATCGCGTATGCAATCCATCGTTTGAACTTGATGAGAAGTATTGGCGGGTAATTCCGGACATGTATTGCATGTAACTGTAAAATTAGTTATACAGTCTCTTGACTAAAACAAAATATAATTTTATATCATTATTAAAATTAAAAAAAAATTAATTATTATTACTCTTGCAAAAGTACCATTGCCACTAAAGAAAATAAAGAATTCTTATTTATTAAAACAAAAGAAAAATGATAATTTCTTTTGACATACCAAGTAACACTGCAAGCCCAAGTACTCCATGATGTAACGGAACAATCTTGACAATGAACCACATCTATAGGGAAAAGTAATTAAAATAAAGATCATTTATTTAATAATTGAACTAAAATTACCAATGGAAAAAATCATTAACAATAGAAGTAGAGAAACACTCGACTTCATTTTCATTGAAAGAAATATTATAGTATCGGTATGCTTATAAAAATGACAATTCTGATTCTGCTTTTGTATTTACGCTTCGGCACCGAGTAGCTGTTGTTGTTGTTATTTGATTGAATCAGTTGCGAACGAGACAACAATAATAAGTTGAAAAATAATATTTCATAAGAATTTTCAATCAATAGGACGCGTTGCCAACCTTGAACAAAATTAGACGGATAAAAAAATGAAAGACGTAAAAAAAGAAGGAAAGCAAAAATCAAAATACTATTCAAGAATAAGAAAAAAACGATGCATGTTACTAATGAAATGAAAAAAAGAAACAAATTGAAAAAAAAAGAAGAGAAAAGAAATGACCGATGAAAACTACTATAGTTAAACAAGAAAAAAATTAGGATCATAAGAAGAAAAAAAGCATATTGAAGCTTCAAAAAAGAAATCTTAGAAATGAAATGAAAATTAAAGTAAGAGGGAGAGAGAGAGAGAGATAGAATGAAACCAAATCGATTCTTTCTATAACTCAAAATCGCTTATATCACTACATATATGTAAATAATTCATTACATATTCTTTATCAAATAAAGTTTCGTATATATTTTACACAAAAAAAAGATCTAGTGAATTTATTAATTAAAAAACTAATATGACAGTATTTCGTTCTAGCTATTTGTTTTCTCAAGGAGGATAGACTGAATGGAAAAAAAGATACTTTGCGTTTAATCGTCATTTCGAAAATGTACATTTTTTTCATTCCAAACTCCACCTAGATATATATGTATGAGTAGTTAATCATTCTTTTAAATTCGTCAAAAACACTCAAAAACAATTTTATTCTATGTTGTTAACAACAACAACTAAAATGAGTTCCTTTTTTTGCATATTTTTTTCTTTTACGTTATATGATTACATCAGAGTTTGATCACTACAAAAAAACATTTATACAAACAACTATGGAGCAACCAAATTACGTTGCATATCCAGATCATTTATCACAATCCTATCGTTTTGTAACTCCAGCTAATTACAAAAATGGTTCTCCACCATTTGTCAATCAATCTTTTGATCGTTTTAATATTGCACAGCATACAATCCGTCCGAATCAATACGTATCGCATCTAATACGACCAACACAAAATCCTCAGAGACTACCAAAACCAGTACAAGCCAGATTTAATCAATTACCTCCTAGACTTCAATATCAAAGCAATTATTTACAGCAAATACGACCTCAGAATTCTATTTCCAAAGGTCCTGTCTATAATCCTAAAATCAATAAGGATCAAAAAGCTAATACTAATACACAAGGTATAATTATAAGTGATGATGATGATGATTACGATATAGATGATGACCTTCTACTAAATTTAATTCCATCAAAAACAACGAAACAATCATCTGTACATAATTCAAAAGTTAAATCTGATAATGAATATTGTCACACATGTGGTACCCATATTCCTACACATCTTCATAATTTACAAAAATATCTCGATAATCATTGATCGTAATAAGAAATAATTAAAATAAGATTTTTATGTATATAATATATATTTCTTTATTAATAAAACAAAAATTGTAAATCTGTAATTATATTGAGTGCTTTCTTTTTAATATTTTAAAAAGATTCAAAATGCGCATATTATTACAAAATGCATCAGAAGGACATTAACAACAATGTAAAATTTATTTCAGTACTCTATAACAAGAAAAAATTAAAACAGACATATATAATACCTTTTTTTTATTGAGTAATTATTTCCATCATACGTAGAATACATTAAACAATATTCTATTATTTGAAACGCAAAATAGTTCTTGAGATCAATAGTAAAACATGCTCAAAATGAAACAAACAACCATTTTCTATCGCTCTAAGTCATAATAATTATTTTTTTATTTTTAAAAAGAAAATACTTATGTTTTGCTTAGATCAAAACAAAAGATTGAATATACTTTCAAATCATCATCTTATATGATTGTTTATGTTTACAACTCTTTTCAAATAGTTCCATCGGCTTTATTTATCTTCCTATTTCATAAAAGACTGTACTATGTCGGCATAGAAATTTATTGCATAAATATAAATTCATCAGATTGTGAAACAATTTTCTACTCGAATTAATTATTGCAAACGGTGAAATATATTAAACGACTATTGTAACGGCATTCTTTCAGGATAATTTTTCATTCATATTCTTGTAATAGGATAAATATGGATTTAATCTATTACGATGTTCATATTCATATTTTTTATAACTTATTTCAAGTGCTACTATTAATGTGAATCATTTTTTCAATGATTCATTTGCATGATTAAAATTGTATTATGTACATTGAAACATTGTTTTTTTAATAAAAGAATAATAGCAACAAATGGCGCATTTTTTTTATAATTCAGACGTACTTTCGTTATTTGCACTGAATAATATAATACACTTGAAGATCAAATTCTTGTGTAATTATTTAATTCATAAAACAATAGATTTTTGAATAATCATTCTAAGTTAATCTCTGTTTTATAATAAACTTGTATGATATAGATATGTATGTCAATCATTTATTATTTTATTTAATCAATTCAAAAATAATATTAATCACAAAAAGCAAAATATAAAGATCTACATAATTGAACATGCTCGACTTTCTGGTATAATTGGTGCACTTCCAATTCGTTTCAATTTATTTTCATTTCGTTTAATTGCTGTAGTTGGTCGTTGCATATCAAGTAAATGTCGTTGAGGTTTTTCTGTTTGTACTTCAGGTATAGCTTGCTTTAATTTAGCTAATACTGATTCAAATTCTTTTCCACTCCATCGTTGTTGATCAGGTTTTGGATTTCGAAAATCAATATAAGATCTTTCAGCAAAAACCATTGCCATTGGACCAGCTGGTGGCCATGACTTTGTATCTTCAATTAATAATGGTAGAATTAATTTTTCTAGAGCATCCGCTAAAGCCATTTCTCGTCGACAATTAATTGATTTTGTATATTTTGGTGTAACACATGATATAATACATTTTGCATGACGAATACCAGTATCAATCTTTTCAAATAATGAATCACCACCACCCATTTGAAATATATCAAGCCAACAACGATAACCTAATTGTGTTAATTTATTATATAAAATAATAATATCATTTTGATAATCCCATTGATATGAAATCATAACTTGTGGATGAGTTATAACAAGTGGTGTATCATCATTAATGATTGCTTTATCTTTTTTATCATTTGTAGTCGTAGTAGTAGCAGTAGGCGTTGTTGTTGTTGGTTGAAGAAATATTAGATTATCAACACGTGGTACAAACCAATTATGATATTGTTCAGTAATCATATCTGGATCTGGTGCAACATGATAACGAATTTGACCAAGTAATTCGGTAAATTTATCAGCTGGCCAATAATTTTCATCGTTTGATTTTCGATCAAAAAAACGTATATATAAATATTCACTCATAATTGGTCCGAGTGCTCCTTCAGGTGGCCATGATTGTTTCTCCATTTGTAATGGAATTAATGGTTTACCTGTACTTATTGTTAAATGAACTTCACGTGAACAATTATCAGATTGAGCATAATTTTTATTAATACAACAAATAACAACTTTTGCTCCACGTATTCCAGCATCGATTTTAGCAAATAATTTATCTCCACCACCCATTTCACCTGTATCCATCCAACAAGAATAACCAGCTTGTTCAAGATTTGTTTTTAATTTTCCAACAGCCTTTTGTGAACCCCATTGATAAGAAAGAAAAATAGGTGGAAGACGTTTAATATCCATAGGTAAATCATCTGGTATAAGTTCACCGGCATTTGACATAGCTTTACGAATAATTTGTTCAGCATCTTGTCGACCTATTTCATTTAACATTTTAACAAGTCCATATGTTGCTTCATCAGCTTTATGTGTCATAAACCATTCATTAAGTAAAGACATTGTTGGATCTAATTGCATAGCCCAATGTTTTAATTCACTTGTTGAATAACCAAAACGTTTACCAAGTAAACGCCAATCATTATTTGCACGAACATTAAGAAGTGTACATACATCACGACCCCATTCTGTTGGAACATAACTTAATGTTTTGGCATCAATACGTTCAAGTTCATGAGCATGATGTTCAAGTTGTTCATTAATATCATTTATATGTGTATCAACAGTATTTACACGTGCATCAAGATTAGTTATCTATGTACATATATATAGAGAGAAATTTGAAAAAAAAAATCAAGATTATTATTGTTTTGAAAGAAAATGTTGACGGATTAATTGCAAATGATCTCGAAGTGTTTGTATCTCAGAAGCTATAGCATCTAATCGATTCTCAATTCGATTTAAATAGTCAGTAGTAGTAGTAGTAGCATTAGCGATAGAATCATTTTGAGGATGATTAAATAATGATGAAATATATTCTGAAGAATACTGACTGATCGAACTCTACAAAATATGGAATAAAGAGATATGAATGAAAGTTTTTTTTAGATTAATCTCAAATATTTTATAAAATAAAATAAAAATATTTACATTTAATTCTTGACGTTTCACTAATTTTGTTATATTTTGAACACCCTGTTCTGTATGAACAACACGTCGTTCTATTTGTGCTATTTCATCAAGAGTATGATTGATAGCTGTTTGATTTTCTTCACTCATTTTATTTCCATCAATAATATCAATTAACATTCGACATGTTGAATTAGATTCAAATGGTAACAAATCATTACGTTTAGTAGCAAGTATTTGTTTATGTCGTATACCAATCAATTGACATGTATGAAATATTTGTGAACTAAGATCAGTTGAAATATTTTTTGTATTTTTTATTAAATTAATCAGCAGAGTAAGATATTCATCGACTGTTTTTTCACCATTAATAATTGTTGATGCTACTAAATATTGTTGAAGACAATTGAATGCTTGTGGTTTTTGTTGTTCTGTAACAAAATGTACAAGATCTTGTCGATATTTATCTAATAAGTGTGGTTGTGCATTTGCTATATGACCAAGCATTAGAAAAATATGACTACTTTCATTTAATATGTCCGTATGATTTTTAATTGAAGTAAATAGATAATCAACTTGTGATGATGTAATTAATTCTGGATGTGTTTTAATAATAACCATCAAAATAGAAGCAATTGATACTAGGTGTTGTCCATTATCATCGAAAAGAGCATGTACAAGATCATCAAGACGATCATGAAATGGTTCTGGTCGTTTAGCATACAATGTCTATGAATATATAAAAAGTATATTTTAATGATTTCTAATATGTAAACGAATTGTTTATTTGTCGTAGTGAATCAGTAAAATTCACACTACAAATAGATACTTACAGGAAGTAATCCTAATAGATTCATTTTTTTATGATCAATAATTTCATGAAGAAATTGTGAAATATGATTAGCTGCAACATTTGGATATTTCAGCGCAGTCATACTCCAGAATGTACACCACCAAGAGTACATTTTTTCTTCTTCTTCTTCATCATAGATTAATTTATATAATCGATCAAGACATGTTTCATATGCGTGTGCATTATCTTCATTATCAATACATTGTCCAATTTTAAACCAAATATGTAATGCTGCTAAATGTTCAAATGTCATACCACCATTTTCATCATGTAATGAACAATCAAGTGCTGCTGAACAGAAGGCAGCTAATTGTTGATGTAATGCTGTTGGTATAGTTTTAATATGTTGAATAGACTCTGATAATAATTGAGAAATAGCCTAAAAAGAGAAGAATATAAATATGATTTTATGATTATGGAATGATCTTACTGTGAAAAAGTACTGAGACGTTTTATCCAGTACATATGTATCATCATTATCATTGATTTGTTTCTGAAGAATTGCTATAAATTGATAGCAGTTATCAATAGTTATTTGCTTTGTATCAACTAATTCAGTCATTTTTGTTCCCATGTTAAAAATATATTTATCGTATGGTTTTCCAGTATCATTATCGATAATTGATGACCATTTTAAAACAGCTTGTAATGCTGATTGATGTGTTGCACGGAATATGGTTGGATTAGTTTTTGCTCGTTCACCAATTAATTTGATAATTTTTTCTAATATATCCAAATCAGAAAATCCTGAATTGCTGATAATCTTATCATAAGAAATACATGATTGAACAAGATGAGTTAATTGTTTATCTAATTGTTTCCATGGATAAAATTCATTTATCTCCAGTATTCTGTAAGCACAAGGGAGAGCTTCAATAATGATTAAATCAAGAATTGCAAGAATTAAATCAAAGTAACTTGTTGCTAATTTCTTATTTGCTTTCTTCCTATTCATTTCATATGCTATCGGTGATATTATATCTTTACAAAAATGATTTCGAGATTGAATATCAACTAATGGACATATACGAATTAACATTTGAAGTAATTCTTCAAGATTATTTATTAAACTGAAATGAGTAACTATAACATTACGTACAAAGTATTGAGCTTCTTTGATTTTATTTTGAGATAAAAGTTTTTCAACAATCATATATATGTCCGATGAGTTAGCTGTAAACAAATCAGCTTGACTTTGATAAGATTTAGCTATTAAATTACAATAATCAGTTGATATAAAAGGTTCAGCACATGTATTTAAATAAACTTTTGCATCATCTGGAGTAGTAAAACTATCGAATAAAGTTGGACATGCTCGTTCAAGAGTATTTAGAACGTCTGACCAAATAGTTGATTGTCGAGAATGATGAGCAGCCCATCTTGAAAGTGAAGAAAAGTATGATATGATAAATCAAGAAATGACTTATCCACCGAGAAGGATTTCTATTACTAGATCGCCGAGGAAAATATCCTTTGAACGTCATACATAAATCCTATAGAAACAATGCTGACATTTTTTTTAGTCAATTTAAAAAAGAATTCCGAAAGACGTTATAAAATTTCCTATAACAGTTCTATGCACGTATTCTTATATAAGAAAAACTAAGACAGGTGAATAAATGTCATATTTTTCAAACATTAAATTTTTAATAGTAAATATTCAGAGAGAACGACGTATGATTAAATGTCAAAGAACGTTGAAAAGCGGACGTATAATAATATTATCTATGAGAACGATAACACGAATGGCAAATAAAAGAAGAAAGAATATTTATCTTTAATAACTGATATGAGAATATACTTAAAAATATTTGCATATTAATAACAGTGATGAAAATTTAAAACAACATCTATGATTGTGAAATTACCTGTACAAATGTTGAAACTGACTTCTCATTATAATCATTGTTTCTTTATGATTTATTTTGTTTGTATCCATATCTAGTGATGAAAACATTCTTCTTAGAAATTGTTTCCATTCGTCTTGAACTTTATCATTAGACTCTTTATTTAGTAATTCATGTTTCTGTAAACAACCGAGAATCGAATCAATTAATTCCACAGATGGAGATTTTGATAAACGTTCACCAAGTCGATATTGATAATAAAATGCTTGAAGAAATTTAATTTGTAATAATTTATTTGTATTAGGTATATTTAATACACGACAAAATATTTGTACTAATTCGTCCAATGATGGTAGAGGATCCTTGAGAAGATTTTGTATAGTTTTATCAATGAAAATGGATTTTGTCCCAGATGTTGCTTCATTATCTTCTAAGACATAATCAACAAGAGCATTTAAAGATTTGACCTTGAATGTAGGTTGATCAATATCTGGAATATCATCTGGTAATTTATGTAGTTTCGTAAATATGTCTGGCCATTGATCGTCAAATTGTGTGTTATCATGTGTTAATTGTCGAATAAACTCATCCATAATTTATTATAGAGCGACAAAGAACTGAAAAATATCTTTCTACTATCGTCAAACTGTCATATGAATAGAACGAGCGAAGGGGCGTAACTTAGTGACAAAACAAAATAAGATCGTTACTACTGCTAATAAGATAGCAAAGAGAAAAAAAAGATTTTTTTCCTTGTGCAAATAAAAGAAAAATAATCGTGCTGGTCTAATAACATCATTCTTTTTATTTTCAAATAATATTTTAAGTCAATTTATATATACAATATGCGACAATAGTATGTATACAAAAAAAACGAGAAAGAAAAAAAATAGAGATTTTAACCACGAGTATGTCTAATATTTTATCGTTCATCGAATTGATTTAAATCTAATGTAAGACAATGACTAGTTATGCAATCGCCGGGCTAAATAGAAAGAAAATTTATTTAATAAATAAAATACAAGAATAGTTGATTTCTTACTTCAGGATAAATACCAACAAGTGCATCAGCACGTGAATAAAATTGTTCTTTAAGTGAAATAACAATACATTGAAATTCTGATGCAGATTGTTCACGAATAAAATCAGCTACTTTACCAATATTTGTATTATCAAGTGCAGCATCAACTTCATCGAGTAAAAAGAATGGAGCTGGTTTATAGCTATAATAAGAAAAAATTATATATAAAATAGAAGTTTTTTTTTTAATCAAATCAACAAACGTTCGTAATGCAAATAAAAGACAAATAGCTGCAACAGTTTTTTCACCACCTGATAAATTTTCCATTGCTTGAAAACGTTTACCAGGTGCAACACAATTATATGTTATACCAGCTCGATATGGTTCTTCAGCATCTTCAGCAGTTAAACAAGCAACAGCAGCTTGTGAATTAGTTAATTTTTTATAAATATCATCGATACATGTTGAAACATGTTCATAAAGTGAATTAAAACGATCATAACGTTCTTTTTTAACTTTTTCAAAAGTTTGTCTTGCCTGTTTAGCTGTATTACGTGCACGTTCAAATTCAGCATTTGTTAATTCAAATGTTGATTTAACTTCACGTGTACGTGCATCAATAGCTGATGTTTGTGGTAAATGTTTTTGTAATTGAATTTCAATATCAGACATTTGTTTAATTAATAATTTTTCTTCTTTATCAATTTGTTCATAATTGATTTTTTTTAAATCATCACGTAAACGTTTGAAATTTAAATCAAATCTATCTTCAATATCATAAATTTGTTTTGTTTCATGGTGACTTGTTGATGTACCATCACCATTTGACATGGTTGATGAATCAGTTGTAGTTGTTGATTGTGTCATTAATAATGTTTGTGTAGAATTACTTTGAGAATTAACTACACTTGTATCATCTGATGAAGATGTTTCAGCAAGTGAAATAGCTGCCATTGAACCAGCATTACCACGAAATGGTAAAGAAATTTCATTTAACTATAAAAGAAACAAATTTTACATATGATTTTTCTAATAGTAAAAATATCTCCGTCATTGAAATAATATGTAACATTATGAAAAGTTTTATCTTATGTATTGTATCTGTATTGATCTTAAAAGTGCACAAGTAACGCTCGTCCTAGGACTCGCTTAGCTCTTTCTCGTACCAATATATCCTCTTCACATTTACTGGAAAAATAATTGAAAATCGTGAAAAATCAGTTTTCGATGTTTTTTTTGACCCTGCGGACATACAAGCAATTTATGGTTACCGGACTCTTCTCTACGAGAAAGAGAATATCTACTTTTCAGTTTCTTTCTCTCTATATATATTTGATGAGTAATTATACCTTCGCTGTACGATAATAATTATGTCGATCCATACGTAATTTATCAATATCACTTTCAATAAGTTGTAATCGTTTTCTTTGTTCGTTATAATCTTTATTTAATTGAGCAGCACGTTTTGTACAATCCGATATTTCACGTTCTTGAAATTCAATTTTTTTCTTATGATCTAATAAACGATCTTTTATTTCACTAATTTCATGTTGTAATTCTTCGATAATCTAAATAAAATGTTTGTATTTTCTCATTTCTTAATAGAATTTATCTTTATACTTTGCGATATTTTTTTTCATTTTTTTGACATTTTTGTAAAGCATCTTCTAAAGCAGCAACTTCATTTTGAATTTGTTCAACATGACCAGCTGTATTACGAGATCGTTCAAATTCAAGCATTGTTTGAATTTTTGTTATTTGATTTTCAAATTCTAAACGTTCTTGTGCTCGTTTTTCAGCTGCTTGTAATTCTCGATCTTCATAAACACTTTATAAAAAATAATAATTAAAATAATATATACAAAACCAAAAAAATTATTTTTACCGAATATTAGCTACATGAATTTGTTTACAAAAATCAGCAAAAACAGCATCTTCAATTTTATTTTTTTGTATACGTAATTTTGATATACGTTTTTCTCGTTCATCAATGGATGCTTGTAATGCATTGATTTTTGGCTAGAATTATATTAAATTTCTTAAGTTAATAGAGATAATAAGAATTATATAAAACATGAACTCTCGGAGTATCCAAATCAAGAGGGTAAGAGCTGATACTCACGAGAGAACTTCCCGAGGTATCAAGACGCTGTTGAGCTGAAATTTTGCCCACAAGTAGGGGATACATAGACTAGAAAACGTCTAAAAGGATATGTGCCCAAGTTGGTGTTTGCCTGAGATATCGGCTATTTATTATATTTGTTGTATAGGGCCTTATCTGAGCGGTAAAATCAAAGTTTCAACTTTAGACCTGGAACTTTGTCCACACTAAGACCTTAAACAGACAAGCTTTCTCACCAAGTTTCTTAAAGACTGTCTCCGAGATACAAGTATGTTAGCATAAAGACGCTTTCTGATGAATATTAGGTTTCACATGAATACTTTCACGGATTCATATTTCGGAGATAATCTACTTAAAATTTCTGAAACTTTATGGGCAAGCTTGTCTGATTGAGGTCTTAGTGTGGGCAAAATTTCAGCTCAAAAGCTTCTTGATACCTCGGGAAGTTCCCTCGTCAATACTAAAAAGCGCCAAATAAGTGCTAGGTGTTTGTCCTTTCTTCCTTGACAAATTATAAGTAAATGTATTAAACATACGTCAAAATCTTTGAGTTTTGCTTGAAAATCAATGAGATCTTTTTCTAATAAAATTCGTTGTTTTTTTTCAGCTGTATCTTTATCAGTTTTTGAATAACGTAAACGACTTTCAAGTTGTTGTAATTGTGCACTAAAACAAAACCAAAACGATTTTATTTAAATTTTTTTATTATTAAAAATATTCTATTCACCGTGCATTGATTAATTCAGCTTCCCGTCGTTTTTTCTTTTGTTGTTCTTTATATTCGTCAAATAATTTATCTTTACGCATTCGTAATCCATCAAGATGTTTTTCATCCCAACGTTTTGAACGAGCTTTTAATTCACTAGACATAAAAATTATTTTCATAAATTCAAAAAAGAATCCATTTCATTTTACTATACCTTGATCCACCTGAAATAACACCTGATTTACTAAAAAGTGTTCCATTTAATGAAACAACTTTAAATTTTTGATTTCCACTTTCATATGCAAGTTTTCGTGCATCATCGTCATTATCACAAACAAGTGCATTACCACATGCATATAATAATGCTTTATAATATTGTTTATCATACTTAATAACATCAAGTATAAGTTTAACATTTTTTGGATCTTGTAATTCTCTAAAAATAAAAATTAATTCCTTTTGTTTTTTTTTGAAGAGAAAATATACCGAAGTTGTTCATTAACTGGTGTTACTTTAATATAATCAAGTGGTAGAAATGTTTCAGGTTCATAACGATGTTCTTTCATATAACGTAAACATGATTGAAC